CCAACTTGCTTATCTTTGCAAAAAGCTCAAAGGCTTGTTCTGCTTACTTGTGGTTCCATTGGCCAGCAGTAAGAGTAAAATAATATGGTGGGGGGCATTGGGGGCATTGACTAGTCAGCAGCTCTGCAAGTGATGCCCCCCCTGTCGCCCATGAACACACTGAGCCTAGGCAACTGTCCCTTCCTTGTTCCAGCTCTGAGTGAGGGTTCTGTGGGAGTCTGCGGCAGAGGTGCCTTGTCACTTGTAGACACAGACTTCTGTGTTTGCAAGTAACAGTAAATAGCTGTAGGCACAGGGCCAGTGCTGGTGGTGGTGTAACCAGGTGACCACAGCCAGTTCTGGCTAAAATAAAAAGCCCTAATTAAGAATTTTCAACAAAAAGTCTGAATAAATAATGGTAATGGATCCCCTCCACAACATGAATTTAAATTCCCCACTATGATGCTCAAAGGAAATCCCAGTGACAACTGTGCTACTTTATTTCAGTAAGATTTCTACAGCATCAGTAGGATGTCTGCAACCATTGAACCACCACAATTGAATTCAAGGTTTAACAGAAGGTAGTACCTCAAAACCTAGAGGTCAATCTGAGCATGAGTATGGTACAAACCCCATACAGGAATAATAAATGGATCACACTTCGTATTTTGCTTCTATGATGTGAAAAATTGCATATGAAACTGCATATACAATGCTGTTATACATGAGGATCCCCTGAAGGTGTCCTATTCAGATGAAATGTGTAGAGGATAACTTATTTACGCTGAAGTTGACAGTATCATACATGCTACTGGTTATAGAGGTAGCAGCTTACTTTGTATATGCAGTTTTTTATGCAATTTTTTAATGCAATGTAATTGAGTCTAATTGTCCTGACAAAACAAAAAGCAGAAAGATCTAATGGAATTTTTTCACACTAAATAGCTCATAGAAGTTCATTACATTGTGTTCTACACCCACCACATCATCAAGGTAAATTGAGCAGGATATTTCAAGAGGCAATAGGACATCATTTTTTTTTTTTAATATTGTTTTATGTAGCCTAATACATTCAGACATCTTAAATTATAACTTTAAATGCACACATGAAGAGAATTATATTTAGCAAGTAGTTACATAGAATTTAACAAGCTTCTACAAGATGATAATAGGAGTGTTGGCTGTAGCTGTTTTTTCTTAATGTAAATGTTGAATTTTTTCAATTACCAATGGTATTACAAAACTAAATAGAAAAGACAATAGCCAGAAGCGGCTATAGAAAAGGCAAAATGCCTGCACAATATACAGTATAAAATGCAGAAAAATGTGGAGCATAAGCATGTAAGGCATGATACAAGTATAGCAAGATTACTACATTTATTCCCTGGGAGTGGAAGCTTGGAGACAGTAACAAGAACAGTACCCTGTTCTATCCAATGTTACACTGTAGAATTACAGATTTGTGGGCTGGGTGGGACTTGGTATACATCATGGATTCCTTGGGGAGGCGGGGAGGAGGGCAAGTGGGGAGCTGGGCCAGCAACTGAATTGGTCACTTGGAGTCTACCCATTGTGTTGGTCAGTTAGGCTTTGAGATACCAATCCTTTTAATGGAACAGTTCCATGTGGGAGGTGATTTCAGCTGGTGAAAAAGAATGTTCCATGAAGCGTCCCCATGTAGCAATGAAATTGTGGGTGATCGTGTCTAACGTTTCCAGGTTAAAAAGAAGCTAGTTAGAGCTTGTATTACCACCTTAAGAGTAGAAGGGTGTGGGTGAATCCAGGTTTGTAGAAGTGCTCTGTAGGCCACCAATATTCATATATGAATCCACTGGGGGGATGTAGAGAGGTGTGTCGAGCTTGTAGGCTCTTCATAGCCAAAGAGACAGATCATGGGATTTTTTGGAGACAGTGATGTTAACCACTTGCCCTCCAGAGGATTTACTCCCCTTCCTGACCAGGCCATTTTTTGCAATATGGCGCTGCGTTACTTTAACTGATAATTGCACGGTCATGCAATGCTGTACATTAATTACATTTTTGTCCTATTTTCTCCCACAAATAGAGCTTTCTTTCAGTGGTATTTGATCACCTCTGTGGTTTTTAGTGTGCGCACTCCCTACCTGGAAATGCAAATCATGTATAAATAAGTGATTTTGCGCAGCTCTGCCACCCTGTAGGGGTAGTTTCTACTATAGGGCGGCAGGAAAGCAGTTAAAGATTTCAGTGATATAATGTAGGACTTGGTCCCAAAAGGTAGAAATTCGATTACATTTCCAAAGGCGGTGGAATAGGGTCGACCGGTTTTGAACGCACTACAGGCACGTTGGGTGAGCAGAGACTGTTCATAGAGAAGGGGTAATAAGCACAGTGAATGATCTTGAATTGAATTTCACGCCATGTTTCACAGAGCACCAATAAAGCAATTTTCTGGTATCCCATGAAGAGTTTTTCTGGAGTGTCCTCCTTACAAAGTATAGGAATCAATGGTTTGAATGGAGTAAGATGGTATTTTATGGATTAATGAGTGATAAATGAGGATATCCTTGGTGATAAGCCAAGGAGTCTCCGTACCTCTCTCCAGGCCAAAACGGTGTCTCTAATCAGTAAGTTGGATCTAAGAGAGATGGAAATTGCTGAAAGATGCAGCGGAGACATCAAGGCTTTTTCTAAGGAGTAGTTCAAGTAGCGTGACTTCATGGATAGCCAGTCGAGACCCTGACAGAGGAGACAGGACAGATTGTAGAATATAATATTAGACAGATCCGCTCTACCCTCACTCGGGGGGAGACAACTTCTGAAATGCGATGCACTTTTTTTTTACATTGCCATAAGGCTGCTTGTAGAGCCATATGTACTTTCTGTACATCAGAGTGCTTCAACAAAATGGGTAGTGTTTGCAAGGGGCAGAGCAGTCTGGCTGATCATTTTGAAGAGATGACATCTCCCAAAGAGCGAGAAAGGAAGAGTCGACCAAGCTTCAAACTCCTGTACAGTCTTATTAATTAGGGGAGGGTATTTAAAGCAATAAAATGACAATGGTTTTCTGCCTGTGTATGCCCAAATAGGTAATAGAGTGTTTGGCTATATAGAATAGAGAAGATGCGAGCCAATGAGCCAAAACAGTTGGGTTCAGAGCAGCTTGGAAGGTCGCAAACAGGTTTTGAAGTCTAAAATCCGAGGGTAGATCAGAGTAGAACAATCGTATATCATCAGCAAATAGAGCTGAACGAAAGGTGAGGTCGCCAATTGTGACACCACTAAACCCTTTGTTAGAGTAAACTAACCTAGATAAGGGCTCTAAAGCAATGATAAAAAGAAGGGGAGAAATTTGGCATCCTTGTCTTGTACACTTGGTTAGGGGAATGTCTGAGGACATAAAGTCAGGGAGGACCAATCTAGCCGTGGGTAAGGAATACAATTTTTGTACGAAGTCAAGGATGGGACCCAAAATACCAAATGTCCGCTTGACCACAAAGAGCGAGACGAAGCTAATATTGTCAACAGCCTTTCCGGCATTGAAGAATGTAACCTCATATCGGGTTGGTTTTGGTGTATTCGAGGGCCATCAGGACTTTGCGGATATTGAGTGTCGCTGAGCGGCCTGGCACAAAGCGAGACTGATCTGGGTGCAGTATGGTAGGCATAGTGGGTCTTTTCCTTTTTTGGCAATGAGTTTTATATGTGCCTGGGAGCCAGTTGGAAGATAAGGGCCATCAGCCCACATTGCCATGTAAACATGATGCAAAGTGTCTGGGATGAAGTCTGTGGTTCATTTATTAAATTCAGCACTGAAGCCATCAGGTCCTGGAGCCTTGGCAGAAGGTAGTATCTTAACTGTGGAGCGGAAGTCATGTAACGTGATTGGAGCATTGAATTTCCAGCTGGGCTTCTGTAAGCTTAGACAGGTGGACGTTGGCTAGTAAGTCCTCAGTGGCCTTGGAATCAATTGGATCCTCTGAATATAAACAAGTGTGATAGAAAGTAGGAAGAGCATTAATTTCAGAAGAAGTTTTCCAGAGGGAGACTGGCGAGTATGGGAGCCAGCACAGAGTCATGCCAATAATTTCCTGCCTTATTGTAGTATCTATGGAATTTCAGGGGGGAGTAGGTTAGCTTAGTTGCCTCCTGCTGTTCAGTCCAGTAATCAAAGGCACTTTTAGCAGATTGCCAGGTAAACTTGTTCACCGGAGTACGATTAAGGGAGGGCGCAATATGGGCTTAGCAAAGACATTCACTGGCTTGGTGGTGTTTGAAGTTGAGATTGTTTTTTAAATTGTGTGGTATAAAATATTATGCACTCAGGGTATGAGGAATGCTTTCCCAGCTTCCTAGAACAGATTGGGATTGGTTAAATGAGCTCCATTTGTGGCTGCGAATTCTGCCCAAGCCCTGTAAAGATGGTATTTGAAATCCTTATTATTAGCATTATTAGGATTATTATAAGTAGGTGGGAAAGCACCAGGAACTGGTAGGTCTTGGAGCTTTCAACTCAGACAACTGCACTAGAATTGGACAATGATCAGTGTGCAGTCATGTTGGAACAGGAAGGGGCCATCCCCAAAACTGTTCCCACAAAGTTGGGAGCATGCATTTGTCCAAAATGTCTTGGTATGCTGACGCCTTAAGAGTTCCCTTCACTGGAACTAAAGGACCAAACCCAACTCCTGAAAAACAACTCCACACCATAATCCCCTTCCACCAAACTTTACACTTGGTACCAGGGGCGGACTGACAACTCATGGGGTCCCCGGGCAATAGGGGATCATGGGGTCCCTGTGTCCTTGCCCAAACTCAAAAAAGCCTATGAAAAAGGTACCAGGGGCATCTCATGGGTCCCCCTACTGACCCCGGGCCCTCGTGCAGTGCCCGAGTTTCCAAATGGTCAGTCCGCCCCTGCTTGGTACAATGCAGTCAGGCAAGTACCATTCTCCTGGCAACTGCCAAACCCAGGCACATCCATCAGATTGCCAGAAAGAGAAGCACGGTTCATCACTCCAGAGAAAACATCTCCACTGCTATAGAGTCCAGTAGTGGTGTGCTTTACACCACTGCATCCGACGCATTGCATTGCACTTGGTGATGTAAAGCTTGGATGCAGCTGCTCAGCCATGGAAACACATTCCATGAAGCTCTCTGCGCACTGTTGTGCTAATCTGAAGGCCACACGAAGTTTGGAGATCTTTAGCTAATGACTCTGTAGACAGTTGGCGACTTCTGCGTATTGTGCGCTTCAGCATCCGCTGACCATGCTCTTTCATTTTTTGTGGCATACTACTTCGTGGTTGAGTTGCTGTTGTTCTCAGTTGCTTTCACTTTGTTATAATACCACTAACAGTTGACCGTGGAATATTTAGTAGCAAGGAAATGCACAGGTATCAACCTATCACTGTACCATGATTGAATTCACTGAGCTCCTGAGCGTGACCCATTTTTTCACAAATGTTTGTAGAAGCAGTCTGCATGCCTACGTACTTTATTTTATACACCTGTGCCCGTGGAGATGATTGGAACACCGAAATTCAATGATTTGGAGGGGTGTCCCAATATTTTTGGCAATATAGTGTAGCTTGCTTGAGCAAACCACAGATCTGGATTGAGCACTTCCAAACTGGAATTGAAAGGTTATTTACAAGATTCAATAGGCTGCTTGAAGCTTGTTACATGTTTGGTAAAAGGAACCCGTCTGATACTCTGCAGACAGGCTAACATTAAATAGTGTTCATATGTATGAGGCTTTGTACTGTACCTAAACAACCCTTGCAGGCTGTAGTCCAAATAGTATAAGGTATAGCAGAAGGAATGGTAGTGAGGTAATGTGAAATGGATATTTTGTGTCATCTGTCCATGGGTCCTGCAAAGAGGAATAGAGGCCTTGACTCATATGTCCACGGAGTGCACAAAATGGAATGGAATTCTTATGTCATACAGTATGTACATGTAGCCCTCAAAGCAGAATACATTGTAGCAGAGTATCTCATGTTATACAGTATGTGGAGCCTTCACACTGAAATGGGTACATTATATCAAATGTATATTTAATATATAAAATGGGAAACTTAAGTCTTATTTGCAATGAGCTCTCAAAGTGGAAAGGTTGCGTTATGTCATATGTGCATGGAGACTGTAAAGTGGAATGGATTCATTATGTCATATGTATATATGTCCTGCAAATTGGAATGGGTACTTTATGCTATATATACATAGAGACTTAAAGTGGAATATTATTATTATTATACAGTATTTATAAAGCGCCAATAGTTCGCTCAGCGCTGTACACTACAAAGGGGAACAGAACATGTGACAGAACAACAACAATACAATGCAAAACATGAGGGGATCGAGGGCCCTGCTCTATCGAGCTTACAATCTAGGAGGGAGGGGATGGTGGCACAGGAGGAGAGTAGGTGATAATCTGATGGGTTGGGGCAGGGAGTTCCAGAGGATGGGTGACACCCTGGAGAAGTCCTAGAGGCGGGCATGGGAGGAGGAGAGCAGGAAAAACTAGAGAGAAGGAGGTCTTGTGAGGAGCAGAGTGTGCGTGCTGGGCGGTACTTGGATATTAGGTCAGTGATGTAGTTCGGGGCAGTATGGTGGACAGCTTTGTACATCAGTATTAGGATTTTGAATTTGATCCGTTGCGCAATCGGAAGCCAGTGGAGGGAATGGCAGAGGGGGGTGGCGGAAATGGAGTGGTTGGAAAGGTGAATGAGTCTGGCAGCCATATTCAGGATCGACTGAAGCGGGGATAGCCAGCGGCGAGGCAGGCCAGTAAGGAGGGAGTTGCAGTAATCGAGTTTGTGATATGTTGAGGGAGTGGATGAGCTGTTTAGTGGTTTCTGGGGTTAGGAACGTGCGTATTTTGTCAATGTTGCGGAGGTGGATCTACACGAGCTTGTTAAAGATTGGACTTGGGGCTGGAAGGATAGGTTGGAGTCCAGAATGACACCAAGTACTCTGGCCTGCGGGGCGGGTTTGATGGTGGCGTTGTTGGATGTGATGGAGAAGTCAGTGGGGGGTGGTGTCCGGGCTGGGGGGAAGACAAGAAACTCGGTTTTGGAGAGGTTCAGTTTAAGGAAGTGGAGTGACATCCAGTCTGATATGTCGCTCAGTAGGTGTGTGATTCGGGCGGAGACTGAGGGGGTGAGGTGGGGGGTTGAGAGATCAGTAATCTCCAAACCGTGGCCCAGGGGCCGAATGCGGCCCTTTGCTTGCTTTTATCTGGCACTTGGGGCACTATTTCATCCACAGATACCAACAATGAGGCATAATTCCCCCCACTGATACCAATGGGAGAAATTCCTTCCAATGACACCAATAATGGGACACAATTCCTCCTAATGACACCAACGATAGGGAACAATTCCTCCCAATGAGGGCACAATTCCTCTGAATAACACCAATGATGTGGCACAGTTCCTCCCACTGGCACAAACAATGGGTCGCAATTCTTCTCACTGACACCAAAAATGGGGCACTATCCCTCCCACTGACACCAAAGAAGGAGCATTGTCTATTCTCACTGGCCACAGTTCGGCCAGTCTAAAGTCTGAAGGACAGTAAACTAGCCTTTTTTGTTTAGAAAGTTTGGAGACCCCTGGAATAGATTCATCATAGCATATGTGCATGGGTCCTGCAACAATAAATGAATACCTTTTGTCATATCAAAAGTCCATGGGTTCTGCAAAGTGAAACAGAAATTTTTGTAGCATCTGTGCATAGATAGCCCTGAGAGACAGCTATTTATGATGAAAGGCATTCTGCAGAGACTCCTCTGTGACGTCATTGCATACAGGGAGTGAACCAGAAGTTGATGCCATTGTTATCGGCTCTGTGATTATATCAATATTCTTTTTTTAACGTAAGTGCGATTTTATGCTCCAAAAAAGGTGTTGGTGATGCCTACATTATGAGAAGTGTCTATCTGCTTGCTTTCACATGATTATATTTACCGGAGTTGCATCTTCCATTCATCTAAGGAGAAGCTGAGAGGAACAGCAATGAGATTTGAGTGGAGAGTTGCCACAGAGTCTGAGCATTTAAAGCGTTTATAGACCACTCTGAATAAAGGGGTATTTCTATTTGGTAAGCTTATATCTTGCCTTCACTGTGGTGACGGGTGATACTGGTGGTATTAAGGGAAGAGAGAAGACATTGCTGCACTCTTTAAAGGGGGCTGACAACATATGATTCACTCCATGTGCACTATTTTTATACTGTTTTGCTCACATTTAATTCCTTTTGGTCACCTTAATTTGTTTTCATGTATGTTTATAATAGCGCAACACTTAATATACACTGTAACTTATTTGAGGGGGATATCCTCTTTTGTGTTTAATTTATGCACAGTTTCCTAATTATTATTATAAAGTGCACAGGATACCTTACATTTCCATGGGTCCTGCAAAGGAGAATCCGCACTTTATCTGATAGGAGCTTTGAAGTGGGTATGAGATGTGATGGGTATATGTACCAAGTGTATTGGAGTACATGGTATAGTAGGCTGAGTGTATTTGGGTACATAGTATGGTGAGCTGAGTGTATTGGGATACATGATGGGGTGTACTGGGGTGAATGGTACAGTGACCACTCAGCACGCTGTGTTGTTCAATACATACTCCAGATCGCCCCATTCTGTACACTGTGTAGTATATCACATACTCCACACTGCTTTAACATGAATGCTGTGCTCAGTGTTGTATATTCCTTGCTTCTGATCATCACAGAATTGTCTTATTAATAGACCACATTTATTTGTACTACTTATCCACTTCCAACTTCAACCCAAACTGTGCAAACTTTTGCCAGTATTTTTAAAAGAAGCAATCATGCTATCAAACCTGAGGTTGTAAAGAGATGATTTGTAATAATAATAATATATACATTATCTACAGAGGCGGCTTTCCTAATATTTAGTTTTGCATAAATGCACTTAGAAACTCAACAATAAATATTTCCACGTAACAATTCACAAGGCAAGATGGTACTACTAACCTTTATCAATAAATCAAGGAGATGTTTTCTTAATTTCCACTAGCATTTTATAGTTATATAGTTTGGCTGAAAAAAAGTCCATCTACTGTATTTCAACCAATGGAAAAACACATTTACACACAAATGAAAACCTTCATATACACAAACCTATACCCACACTGATCCAGTTAACATCTGATTGAATACTGTTTATGCCAGCATTTGCATAATTTCTTGTTCATCATTTTCTGTCTCTTGAAATGTCCAAAAAGACAACAGAGCAACAAACTTTTTCTTAATATAATGCATATTTTACAATAATAGTACATATTTAATTTGATTGCTAACGCTTACAAGTCCAGATGGTCCATATAATACATTTTCATTGTTCCTATCTGAGTTCTAAACCTGCCGTCCCTTCTTGTTACATGACTTAAGTATTTGCAATGTACCCCAACAAATGTCTATTGTTTTGCCTAGCTCTCTAAGGAAGACAAGAACACAGCTCTCTTGTGTTTAATTCTTCAGCTTCTCTTGTTATTTGAGCTGTCTGCATTTGTTGCTTCTTGTTCTTGCCATTTATTTACTTCAATAGGTCCATTTACTGCCAAGTTTTATGGAAAAAAACAGATCTCCAAGAAATATCATGTTGCTTCACCACTGGGAGCCAGATGTCACAGCGCTTGGCTCCACACTGGCCCTGAGTCTTAAAAGCATAGCTACATATTGTATGAAGTGAGAAATGAGTCATAGGCACTTAACTAGAGGGGCCTCTGGCAAGCAAAATGGTCCCTTTTAAGTTTCCTTCACAATATCAAATACTGCCTGGCATGGCAAAGGCAATTGGTGCTGACGTTAGACTGTTTTTTTTTTTTTTGTCTACTTCAATGTTCCAAAAGATGAAGTTTCATAGCCAAAGCATGCCCAAACATACAGTCACAGCAAATTTATTTCAACTAATGTTATGCTATTGATGAAACCATAAAATTGGCAAAGTGCAATGTAATTGTATTCAAGGTTACTTGTTGATTAACATCAACTCAAATTTTTTTCTCTGAAGAAGGGGGTAATTATAGAGGTGCTTAAAGTAGAACTCTGGGCTAGAACGAACTATGCTTAAAACTGCTCCCACCCACGTTCTAAGACCTATACCAACTAGAAGGAGGATGCTTATAATTACCTATTTTTGTGGCGCTTCAGTCCAGTCATGTGATTGGCTCTGGGGGGGGAGCAGAGAGCACCAACAACAGATGGAATGCCTGGGTGGTGACATCATCCATAGGCTAATATGGGGCATCCATTGTCGCCTGTCCCTCCTCTCCCCTGAAGCCAGCTGCTGGGAGCAAATCACATGACCAAACCAGAGCACCCTGGGAACACAAGAAGATTTTCTTTCTAAAAGGTACTTAATATACACTATATTGACAAAAGTATTTGGACATCCCTCCAAATCATTAGATTCAGCTGTTCCAATCACCTTCATGTTCCAATC